GAAGATGAATCTAAAACCAGGTGTTTCATTTGAAAAGTCACATGATGAAGTCCTTTTTCACATAGTGAAGTGCTTTTGTGACACAATTAAGTCCTTTTGTCATATAATGAAATCCTTTTGTCACACGATGAAGTCTTTTTGTCACATAATAAAGCCCTTTTGTCACATAATGAAGTACTTTTGAGTACTTTTGTCATAAACTTTTGTCATAAACTTTTGTCATAAACTTTTGTCATAAACTTTTGTCATAAACTTTTGTCATAAACTTTTGTCATAAACTTTTGTCATAAACTTTTGTCATAAACTTTTGTCATAAACTTTTGTCATAAACTTTTGTCATAAACTTTTGTCATAAACTTTTGTCATAAACTTTTGTCATAAACTTTTGTCATAAACTTTTGTCATAAACTTTTGTCATAAACTTTTGTCATAAACTTTTGTCATAAACTTTTGTCATAAACTTTTGTCATAAACTTTTGTCATAAACTTTTGTCATAAACTTTTGTCATAAACTTTTGTCATAAACTTTTGTCATAAACTTTTGTCATAAACTTTTGTCATAAACTTTTGTCATAAACTTTTGTCATAAACTTTTGTCATAAACTTTTGTCATAAACTTTTGTCATAAACTTTTGTCATAAACTTTTGTCATAAACTTTTGTCATAAACTTTTGTCATAAACTTTTGTCATAAACTTTTGTCATAAACTTTTGTCATAAACTTTTGTCATAAACTTTTGTCATAAACTTTTGTCATAAACTTTTGTCATAAACTTTTGTCATAAACTTTTGTCATAAACTTTTGTCATAAACTTTTGTCATAAACTTTTGTCATAAACTTTTGTCATAAACTTTTGTCATAAACTTTTGTCATAAACTTTTGTCATAAACTTTTGTCATAAACTTTTGTCATAAACTTTTGTCATAAACTTTTGTCATAAACTTTTGTCATAAACTTTTGTCATAAACTTTTGTCATAAACTTTTGTCATAAACTTTTGTCATAAACTTTTGTCATAAACTTTTGTCATAAACTTTTGTCATAAACTTTTGTCATAAACTTTTGTCATAAACTTTTGTCATAAACTTTTGTCATAAACTTTTGTCATAAACTTTTGTCATAAACTTTTGTCATAAACTTTTGTCATAAACTTTTGTCATAAACTTTTGTCATAAACTTTTGTCATAAACTTTTGTCATAAACTTTTGTCATAAACTTTTGTCATAAACTTTTGTCATAAACTTTTGTCATAAACTTTTGTCATAAACTTTTGTCATAAACTTTTGTCATAAACTTTTGTCATAAACTTTTGTCATAAACTTTTGTCATAAACTTTTGTCATAAACTTTTGTCATAAACTTTTGTCATAAACTTTTGTCATAAACTTTTGTCATAAACTTTTGTCATAAACTTTTGTCATAAACTTTTGTCATAAACTTTTGTCATAAACTTTTGTCATAAACTTTTGTCATAAACTTTTGTCATAAACTTTTGTCATAAACTTTTGTCATAAACTTTTGTCATAAACTTTTGTCATAAACTTTTGTCATAAACTTTTGTCATAAACTTTTGTCATAAACTTTTGTCATAAACTTTTGTCATAAACTTTTGTCATAAACTTTTGTCATAAACTTTTGTCATAAACTTTTGTCATAAACTTTTGTCATAAACTTTTGTCATAAACTTTTGTCATAAACTTTTGTCATAAACTTTTGTCATAAACTTTTGTCATAAACTTTTGTCATAAACTTTTGTCATAAACTTTTGTCATAAACTTTTGTCATAAACTTTTGTCATAAACTTTTGTCATAAACTTTTGTCATAAACTTTTGTCATAAACTTTTGTCATAAACTTTTGTCATAAACTTTTGTCATAAACTTTTGTCATAAACTTTTGTCATAAACTTTTGTCATAAACTTTTGTCATAAACTTTTGTCATAAACTTTTGTCATAAACTTTTGTCATAAACTTTTGTCATAAACTTTTGTCATAAACTTTTGTCATAAACTTTTGTCATAAACTTTTGTCATAAACTTTTGTCATAAACTTTTGTCATAAACTTTTGTCATAAACTTTTGTCATAAACTTTTGTCATAAACTTTTGTCATAAACTTTTGTCATAAACTTTTGTCATAAACTTTTGTCATAAACTTTTGTCATAAACTTTTGTCATAAACTTTTGTCATAAACTTTTGTCATAAACTTTTGTCATAAACTTTTGTCATAAACTTTTGTCATAAACTTTTGTCATAAACTTTTGTCATAAACTTTTGTCATAAACTTTTGTCATAAACTTTTGTCATAAACTTTTGTCATAAACTTTTGTCATAAACTTTTGTCATAAACTTTTGTCATAAACTTTTGTCATAAACTTTTGTCATAAACTTTTGTCATAAACTTTTGTCATAAACTTTTGTCATAAACTTTTGTCATAAACTTTTGTCATAAACTTTTGTCATAAACTTTTGTCATAAACTTTTGTCATAAACTTTTGTCATAAACTTTTGTCATAAACTTTTGTCATAAACTTTTGTCATAAACTTTTGTCATAAACTTTTGTCATAAACTTTTGTCATAAACTTTTGTCATAAACTTTTGTCATAAACTTTTGTCATAAACTTTTGTCATAAACTTTTGTCATAAACTTTTGTCATAAACTTTTGTCATAAACTTTTGTCATAAACTTTTGTCATAAACTTTTGTCATAAACTTTTGTCATAAACTTTTGTCATAAACTTTTGTCATAAACTTTTGTCATAAACTTTTGTCATAAACTTTTGTCATAAACTTTTGTCATAAACTTTTGTCATAAACTTTTGTCATAAACTTTTGTCATAAACTTTTGTCATAAACTTTTGTCATAAACTTTTGTCATAAACTTTTGTCATAAACTTTTGTCATAAACTTTTGTCATAAACTTTTGTCATAAACTTTTGTCTGAGAGTAAGAGTAATGATAAGTTTCTTTTTGCAAAAACATTTTTTAGTGAAAAAGTAAATAACTATATGCATTATAGCATATAAAAGTAAATAACTATATGCATTATAGCATATAAAAGTAAATAACTATATGCATTATAGCATATAAAAGTAAATAACTATATGCATTATAGCATATAAAAATATTTCTCCCGTAAAAAGTTTCTGATGAAATATTTATAAGCTGTTTCCATGAATTCACTTTCTTTTTAGCATTTATTATTTGTGTCCTAATTACACTAAAACTTGTGAACAGCCTCAATAAAGCTTTTTTATTGAATTCATTTCTGACTTGATCTTTATTTTTGTTATTTTCATTTTGTTCATTTTCATTTTCTTCTATCAGTTCAATGTCAAAAAAAGTATCCTTCTATATAACTTTTTTCGTTGTTATTTAAAGAAATGTGAATGGTTTTGAAACAATAAATTGACAATGAGCGAAAAATTTGGAAATATTTACACATGAATGTTTTTCTGCAGCGACATTTAGAGCAGGTATAACATATTGTTATCCCTGCTTTGTTGATTTTTCTGCTCATCTGGAGCAGCAACATGTTTTGTCAGCTCATCTTCTGACCAGAGGGAATTAATCTTTATACACTGCTTATATTAAAATATACTTTACATTATATATCCAATAAACGTTGATTTTTATTTACATTAGATTGACTTTTTCTACATATTTATGTACTATATCAATTGTTTTTTTTATTCAAGGTACACTTATGCATATGTAGATTATGAAGTTGCTCTGCAGTATGATCACAAAGCCATAAATACTCAGCAAGCATTGACCAGGTATTTTTATTTAGTTTTTTGATTTTTAAAATGTTTTTGTTTGTATAAAGATTTTAAGATTTTGATAACATCTTAAAGATTTTGATAACATCTTTTTAAAGTTAACTTTTAAGGTTTTAATGATTAAAAGTGTTTTAATATATTGTATATGTTATACTTCTGTATATTGTATATACTGTATCAACTCGTTTCTCCGCGCAACGGCCTTGTTCGTCAAGGTTTGTGTTTCGGAATTATAGAGTTGAGAGAGGGTTATAACCACAAATAAGTAGCCTCCTCGTCTGTAGTAGCCTTCTCGGCCTTGAGGAGGTGAATTTAAAAAAAAAAAAAAAAATGTAATATTTTTATTTTAATTAATAATAAGGATGAGGTTGTATTAAGAATCATACTAGCATCCAACCTTAAATTTCTGATGCTTGTTTGATTTTTTTTTCATAAATTATTATGATTGCTACCTAATTCTGTTGGTCCTATCATCTCTTTTTCACTCTGAAAATTAAGTTTGACTTGTTTATCTCTTATATCGCATCTATTTGATTATTTCTACTTTCTTGAAATAAATATTCTAGTTTTTTTTTGTCTGTTTTGGAATTTTTTACTTTGTCATGTTTTCCTGATTTTTTGATCCTAATGTATTTAGGTTATTTTTTTATAAAAGTTTTTATTCCAGAAATTTGCAAACAATTATACAGGCTTGGATAGAAATTAAATTTTCTACTGTTGCTAAACAGATGTTATCGTCATTAATGATATTTATTTCACACAACGATTTTAAACAATAACTTGTTGGGTTGCTGTAAACAATTCAATTAAAACTAGCGGTTCAATCATTTTTTGGGTAAATTTCTTTTGCAGAGTATGTATGTTCTTTCGCAATCTGTGGAATAATCTTTGAAGAAGTTTTTTTATAAAAGTCTTAAAATGGTTGCTCATTGTAAGAGTTGGATCGATATTGGTACCAAACTCATTGTAAGAGTTGGATTGATATTGGTACCGAGCTCATTGTAAGAGTTAGACCAAATTGTAGCGCTTTGTAGCAGTTATCTTAATATTGTCAAAAAATAGCGTTAGTTCTTTGGGGCATTTCCTGAGATTTTGTGATGTGCCAAGCATTTCTGCACAGTACTTCAAAAGTTCTACTGGTAGTTTGTCAGCTCCACCTGATGCCTTCTACTTTTTAATTTCCTTTAGTTTTCTTTCTATCTAAACTTTTGAAACATACTTTTATTGAAACTGGTTTGTGGTCTGAATTGGATACTGCTGGATCTCTCCAAACAAAATTCACTAGCAGCATAGCTTTTAGCTTTAACCTTTGTGCACATGAGGCAAAAAACCAGGAAAATATTTCTGATTTGTTTTTCGCATTAATCAATTTTACTGGTACATTTTCATCTTCCACAAAAGGTGTAGCGTACTTAATTTAGTACCTGGTTTTAGAAATATTGTTTTAATGACTTTCCAAAACCCTTCGGAATTGTTTATCACTGCCTCTTGGACCATTTTTGAGCCCTGCTAGAGGAGTACAACAAATGATTGTCTATTTTCTCAGTAAAAATGAACAATGGTGGGTTACCCCCTCAAACAGACCACAAAAACAGTCTTTGGGGTGCCAATGTCTGACACTTATTTCAACTCTTGTATATTAATATTTCAAAAATCAAAAAAATATATTTATAAATTTTTATTTGTTTAAGAATAAAATATCTTTTAAATTATACATGTATGTATATTAGGGTGTTTCATATTTTATCAATTTTTGAAATTGAACTCGCAATTCAATTTATAAATTGACCATTTATAAGATAATAAGTTTAGACAAAAAAAAAATTATAATTTTTAGGGTCCCAGCCAATTCAATTTTGGGCCAAAAATGTTAAAAAAAATTGGACCTTAAAATATATCCTATAAAAATTTTTTTATTCTTTCAAATATTAAATGTTGGATTAAAAATTAATCTTTAAAAAAATAAAGAAATTAGTCTACAGAATCTTCTGAAATAGGTGAAAAATCCAAATTTTTCTTAACAAAAACCTATTTTATAACTCAGTGGTGTATAATTTTTGATCTCCTAATCAACTATTTTCAGACGTGGAAAAAATAATAACCTTGATAGTTTTTATAATAGTGTCAAATTGAGTCTAAAAAAATAAATAATTTGATCCATGGAGTAACCAACTCTGGACACTAACCTTAATGGACCCTACTTAATAAACATTAGACCGCAATAAATTTAAAATCCGGAAATTTGATCGAAAAATATTATCAAAAAAATGTATGAACCAAAGTACTTAAACAATAATTTAAAATTTAGCAACTTTTCAATGCAAAGTATTTAAAACTAAATTTGCTTGACTTATAACAAGTAGTCTAATATTTTTAAAAATAATATTCAAAATGGATAAAATTACAAGACAAAAAGCTAGAGCGTATTTATTTGAAGAAGAAAACCTGATAGAAAACTTACCTCAAATAACTTTTGCAACAAATAAAACTCTCAACCCAATGAATTAAGGACGGCAATGCTGACCTAACTGCCAACCTGAAAGTGTTTTAGGTCAGCAAAAAATTGCCGACATCGTTTCTATGTTTTATGGTCAGACCTTTGTATCATATAATTTTTGCCAACCTGATGCTGACCTCTAAAAGATTAAGGTTGGCAAATTATTGCCAACCTCATTTTTCCTAATTCGGAGGGTTGAATTTTTAACTATCAGTTTAAAAAATCTAGTAAAAAGTTAACTTTGTCCAAAAAGTTTATTGGTTGTACTGATTGGCCTAATAAATTTGCAAGGTGCTCCGTTCTTGACAATTACCCTGACAACTGTTTTCTTTTTGCAGTATTAAAAACTTCGGTTAGACAGAGGTTGCAAAGATGGATTATTAACAGATAAAAGGTTTCATAATTACAATTTATAATAAAATAGTAAAAATAAGTTTTTATAATTCTTTGAACTTATCAATTTAGTTAATGATTAAGGTTTTTTTTTAATACCACTCCAATTATTTTTTTTTAATTATGTATTATTAATAGTTTGTTTTATATCAGTAGTTGTATCCTAAAAATTTAACAATTTTTAAGTTTTTTGAAACTTAAATAATTTAAATTCCAAAATTGCATTATCCCCATAAAATTTTAAAAAAAAGTTAAATGATTTTGTGGCAATATTTGCAAAACGTTTTCTCTTGTTAGGATATTACAGTTTATTCAGGCCAGTTTCACCAGTCTTCTTTTCCTCACTTATACTAAAATAGCCAAAATTAATTGTTTATATAATAAACTTAATAAATGCAAAACACTTTTCCTCTAGTTCATATATTGGCCAAATGGCCATACTCTTCCTGTCATTATCCTGGGTTATTATGTATAGGTTTATAGCTAAATAATATAATAACTATAAGACGGTCTGATTAATTATTGATTACATAAAATTTATTATTATTGAACAATAAAACAAACATGTAGTATGATGAATTAGTATAAATGTGTCATTAATATTTTAATTTCATGTATTATTGTAATTTTTGCAGGGATAATATCACTTTGTTTAATCGATAGTTGACAGTCATTAAAAAAAAGTAGGAGTAAGGGCTCTGAAGCAGCAGAGAAATCTAGGGAAGAATGCAGCAGAGAAATCTAGGGAAGAATGCAGCAGAGAAATCTAGGGAAGAATGCAGCAGAGAAATCTAGGGAAGAATGCAGCAGAGAAATCTAGGGAAGAATGCTGCAGAGAAATCTAGGGAAGAATGCAGCAGAGAAATCTAGGGAAGAATTCTTTTGATTTAGCGCAACTCAGCCCAAGTAATCAAAAATAAGAGTTAGTGAAGGGTTTTGTTAAAGATATCACCATGACATCAGTATCAAAAAATATTTAATCAAGAGATCTAATGTATGTATGTACGGATTTAATTGTAAGTTTGGGCAGAAATGTGGCTCATTTTTCATTGTCTCATTCAACTATTTGGCGAGCTCAAAAAAACTGTTCAGGAAAATGCTGAACAATTTAAGAAAAATGTTAAAAAACTAATCGAGCAAAAAGAGTTTAATGTAAATTTAATGCATACTATGACATTTAATGAACTTAAAGAACAAGGAAACAAATATTTTAAATATGTAATTAATTTTAAAGAAAAAAATTAGAAAGTGATTTTAAAAGAAAAAAAATACAAAGTAAAATTAGATGGTTGTAAAAGAGAGAGAGAAAATTTTTTAAATACATTATATTTAGAAATATGAAAATTTGCCAATTTTAATAAACCACATGAAAAGACTTTTTTTCAGAAAACTTATTGTGTTCTTAAAATCTTTTTTTAGAAGAGTGAGTGTGCACTGAAAACTTAAATCACTAACTTAAAAAAGGGGATATGTTATGTGAATTTCTGCAGGACATGTCCCCTTTTTCAAGTTAGCAATTCATATATATAGCTAAAATTAAAATATTATGGAAAATAAGATTAAAGAACACTTCAATTATTGCTTAAAAAGTTTTAACTTTTGTTGATATAAGAAAAATGTTAAAATTGCTACCGGTAAAGCTTATTTTCCCACAATACCACATTTTGATAGGAAAATTATGGAAGATATCACAGAAGGTAAAAAATCAAAAAGAGATTGGTTTGCAGTCTCGGTAAATATTGATGGTAAAATGAAGCTTCTTGGCATTCTACCTACTGATCATGGTACTAAACAAGCTCAATATAATGCTTTTGTTAAAATGCTGGTTGAATATGGAATATTTGATGACGTGAAAGGTTTATTTTTTAATACAATTGCTACAAATACAGAAAAACTTTCTGGTACAAATCTCAGGTTTAGTCATTAACAAAATTTAATTTTGTTAATGACTAAACCTGTTCAATCAAGAAATCCATAGACTTGACACTGTAAAATTTTGCGAGATGGTTCTAAAGGAAAACATAATCCCGAGAGGAGATTACAAAGAGCTGTTGAAACTGACTCTTATGTACTTATGCCCTGAAAAGGTTTTTTAAATTCAAGCTCCAGGGTGCATGTCACATTCAAGTTTTTTGTCCAAAGCTATTTATTATCTCACGATTCAGATATTGAGTTCACAACTTTCTTATGAATTGACAGATTATCAAAAGAAAGAAATGCAGTCTATGGCCGAGTTTAGCTTAATCTTTTATTCCATCTGGTTTTTAAAAATTTTGTTACCTTACCAATATATAAAGCTTATTGGCAAATGACAAAATAAAGAGAATACGTAGAACAATATGTTCAGAATTCTAAAATAATTTTAAATGAAACTGATGCCACAATGGTTTCAATGGAATCACATTTATGGTACCTTGATGAAACCTTAGTTCCACTTGCTCTTCTAGACCATAATATTTCTGTTGCAGAAAGAGAACATGTTGCAAAAATGCTGTTCTCAAAACCAGTTCCTGAATTTTTTCGTCATTCCGAAAAATTAAATTTGTTAAAAGCTCTTAACTTTAAGCTAGAAAAACCACCAAGTATTGCACAATTAGTGAAACAAAACTCTTGGTTCATATTTAGTTTTTTAAACTCACTAAACTGAATGATAAACTTTGGTTGTATGGACTTATTTGTACTTTGGGAGTATGTTGACCAGTTTAAGATTTTATCCCAATTTGTCTCCAACCTTGCAGTGGTTAACGATGTTTCTGAAAGATCTATTAAAGTTGTATCAGACTTTGTAAACAATGTTCACAATGAAAATGAGTTACTACTTGATTTTCACCAAAGGAGAGAAAACCTTCACGAGGCAAAGACTAAGGAAGATTTGTAACCAGCATATGAAGTAATTGCAAAATAAATAATATAGTTTTTAAATGATGGTGTTTATTTAATGATGAAATATTGAATTGTAAATATATATTTTTTATTTAATAATACTTTTTTTATTTAAGCTTCATTCTTTTTTTTTTTTACTTTTTTACAAAAGCAACTATGCAACAATACCACAAAAATCATTTAAAGTTGAAGAGCTACAATATACTTGCTAATCTTGAGGCAACAAAACTAATAACAACAATACAACTTTTAATCATGTTGAAGTAAGTTCATTAAGTCTTTTTATCTTATAAAGAACTAAAATAAATTATTATTATTAGGCTATTAAGGTTAGCGTAAGGGTCATGTTACCTCCAAAGATAAAAGAACATTTTTTTAAGACTTATGTAAACCTCATTTGACACTGTTATAAAAACTATCCAAGTTATTGTTATTTTCGCATCTAAAA